AGAAAGACACCCAAAGACAGCTGTGTACACATAAGTGTATGCGTACATATACATGTGTGCATACAAAATGGCACAAACATGTACATATACACATACATGCACATACACACATGTACACACACACTTGCAGTGGAGTTTGTACCGGTGTTGTATCCCATATTAGTTCGGACACATATTAATGGCCTGTGTATCCCATTTTTGTGACCTACAGAGTAATCCCACCAGTCCAAAGTCCTCCATGGCCTCTTCCTGATCCAGTCCAGACACTGATCTTTCTGACCCCAGAGTTTTGCCTTGGGCAATGTCACTTACTGGACACACAGAGTTTGGTCTCTGATGCTGGCTTCTTTTTCTTTTTCATACTTTGGTATATTTTCTCCAAATCTTTTCCTGTCTTGGAAGCCCATTCCTTTTTAGTGCAGAATTCTGTTTAATGTAGATACACCACCGTCTGTGTATCTGTCCCTCCAATGAAGGTCTTCATCATTGCTGTTGAGTTGGGGCAATGACTAACACTTGTGTACAGGTTTGAGCTTGGATGTGTCTTCAAACCCTCTGAGTAAACGCAAGGGCTCTCATGGATGACTCTATCAAGACTGTGTTGAAGTCTGTAAGAAACCACCAGGGAGTCTCCTGAAGTCACCCCACCACATGAGCTGCTAGTCAATGCCTGAGAATTCCCGCTGCCCCCGGGTTTTTATGGTGGTTTGTGGGAAGGCTTGAGGTGGCTGTAACAGCTGGTGACAGAAAGAAGCACCTGGCCTTGCTTATCAGCCTGCCCTGGTACAGAGGGAGGGACCTGGCTTAAAACAACAGTGTGCAGTCAGACAACAAATCCGAGAGTCAGGCTGCTGGGTCTACAAGGCGAAGATAATTTGCTATTATGAAGGGAAAGAGTAGCCAGCACTCTCAACCTGGCTCCTGGGAGGCATGCAGACCAAGAGTTCCTATGACTTCCGGAAGACCAGGATTTTATTTTAAGGTTTATCTATGTTTACTTTTATGTGTATGAGTGTTTTGCCTGTGTTTGTTGTGTAAGTGTACTTACTGCATACCTGCCTGGTATCTGAGGAAGCCAGGAGAGGGTGTTGGACCCTCTGGGACTAGAGTTACAGACATTTGTGAACCACCATGGATGCTGGGAACTGAATCTCAGTACTCTACAAGAACAGCCACTGCTCCCTCCAGTTCCCAAAACCTGGCTTTTGTGGTTTTCTTCTCAGTCTAGGGGGGAAGCTATATAAAGTCTCGATTTTTCTGCTTAACTTTTTCTTTACACCTTTTTCTGCAACAGAGACACCGGTGAATTTCCTCAGTCAGTCCCTCTGACACTTTTCACCTGGGAATTAACACACCTGCTTAGGTGGCTCCCCCAATCCTATCCACTGCGGTTACAACTGGCCTGTCTGGATAGTGTTCTGACATCTACAATCATTTTTAAGTTTTACTAAACTTATTTCTTTCTATTACAAGGATCCATCCTGCCTATTACACAATGCCAGGGCTGACCTGGTGCTATCTTTTCAAAGGGAATAATGTGTATTTGGGAAGTATAGAGGGAAGAAAAAGAAAGAAGATATCTGAAAAAAAAA